AAAAAAATGATTATAATCAAAATTAAACCGTGCACACCCATAATTTTAACGTAACAACTGATCTTGTGCATTTGGATCAAGGAAACATACAAGGAAAAAAAATACCTGTAGTGTTAGTATTTATAAAAGAAAAAATATTGTACAGAGTACAATTTAAATTGAAAAAAAATATATTTTTTATTTAACAAAAAAATATTAAGACTATTTTAAGCATTTTTTTTCTAATCTATTGTTTGGTACCAAAGGAGTATACAATAACAATTGAGAGGTAGTAGCGCTTAAATTATTTTTTAAGGAAATAAAAAATAAGACAAATCACAACTACAGAATAAGTGAAATATACAGTAATGAGTTCTAGCTAAATCTCATCCATTACATGATTTTACTATGTAGGCATCCTCATTTTTCCTTTTTTTGTTTTTTTTCTTATCAGTATCGTTTTAATTACTCCTCCTTTGTAGTAAAGACCAGCAGCAATGGTAAAACCGCCTGTTTTAGAATTCATTATTGATGAAAACTCCTCCTTTTGTAATAAGATGTTACTTGAGTTTTTGTCTTCAGTTTAAAAGACTAGTATTAAATTTACAAAAATGTATTTTATAATTCAAATTATAATTTAATGTGCAATTTAAACTATAAAATTATTAAAATATTTTTAATAAAAATATTTTTATATTATTTTATTATTAATTTAATAATATTATTAAATATACTATATTTTTAATATATAATCTAACTTACAAAAACATGATTCTCTTAAATTTATTACCATTAATCAACCAATAATTTGAATTTAGTTTGTAATACCATAGTCATGTGGACCTTCAATTGATGAATAGCTTAGAGAACTTCACCGTTGAATCAGTATTAGAGGGGGAAGAGGCAAGTGGCAATGTCAACTTACTTTGCTGAGTTCATTTGCAGTAGCCATTAAGCAAAGCAGTAATTTGTACTTTCCAACCTTACAAATACCTCCCGTTTTCAGTTTTATATAGTTGACAAAGTTGTTAGGGTATATACAGCTTAACGGAACGACATTGAATAATTCATTACATGTTTTAATGTCACATTAAAATTAAAAGATTAATCTACTAATTTCATGGGTCTTCACATATATAAGTCATTTTTTTTTTTTTTTTTTCGATATAAGATCTTAATTCACACTCACAAGAGAACATACTATTTCAACGAAAACAAAGTTAACTTTGAGAAAACATGATTTTCTCTCATATAATTTCCTTAATCAAGTGAAGAAGGAAAGCTAATTATCTTTCCGGAAGGATATTTTCCCTAACTGGATAGAATAGAATATTAGAATAATCCAAAGTATCTGACTTTCTTCAAAAGATCAATTTTAGACGGATACTCAAACCTCAAGTATGAACTTGTTAACCAAATAAAAGAGGTAGATAAGGAGATTAATTACTCCTAAAACTAGGGCTTGAATTCTTGTGAACGATAAGAGGCCAGAGGGGTTCTGGTTGAGGTTTGTTTGGTGTGACAATCACTGTCCCCCACTTACCCCTTCTGTTCAAAAACAGCGAAGGACAACTAAAAATAAAATTCTACCTCGAAAGCTAGTTTTGTTGTTTCTTTGTCAAGGAAATGAATCAAAACAAAATCATGATTATTAGCACCAATGTAAAAAGCAAATTCCATATCAGTTAATGCCCCACCCCTGACTTTTTACTACTAAAATTTTTGGGCGTGACGCATTGTCAAATATGTAGGTATTGCGTCACATTGCAATGAGAGTAATAATTTTGGTAAAAATGCATAAACATTGCGTGTGAATCAATAACAGATCGAAAATAGCTATTTTTGATGTGATAGCCATATCGATAAAAATCACGCATTAAAATAAAAATAAAGATTAAGAATCATTGCTCTTGCTTCATATCACAAGAAATGAAAACTATTTTTCATATTATAATGTCAATGCATTGAAGATTCCTATAAAATGAATTTAAAAAATTACAAGTTAATGACCATATTCCGGTAAGGAAAGATGGGAGAAAAGACTCCCTTTAAATTTCTCCATGTTTTATTTTATGTACTATTTTAAAGCAAAGAGGTGAGTTATTACTTACCCAGAAGCTGGTTCGGTGCATTCCCTGCGGCCCATTGGTGGCCTCTACCGTCCAAAAGCTACTGGTAAATTGCACCTTGATTAGTGATCGAGTCTTATCAAGAATAAATGGTAACCTAACTCATAATCTTTAACTTTCAATTATTATCCTTCTAAAAAAAAAAGAAGCTGGTTCGGTAGCAGCCAGCGGCTGCTGCCTTCCTCTTTGCACAGTATTCTTCCGCTCGGGCAAGGTTCTTTGTAACTGAGGGTTTAACCCACTTCTTTCGTCCTGGCAGTTCAGTTAGGGAGCAGCCAGCAGCCTCGAGCTTTTCTTTTGCTGATGCTGAAAAGGCACGGGCTTTAATGTTCAGCTTGACACTTAGTTCTCCATTGCCTAGAATCTGAATCGCCCCAAGAAAACATCCAAATCAGCATGGTGCATAGTGAAAAAGGCAATCTATAGATTTGGAGAAACATAATTCCAGAAATAAAGACCAACAAATTCTGTCTGTTAATGTATCATGGGCTCTATGTCGTCTATAATGATGACAGTATGCACTAGTGGCTTTCAAGCTCTATACAATTAATACATTGAACACGATAAAACAAGCAGAGCAGTATGGACTGGATATTAGACTATGATGAAGTCCTTAGAGCTGGTACCATGAATCCTACATGGGTGTATACTGGTTATCAACTATGAGCTATAGTTCTTTTGCAGGACTTCTATGCAATTAAAAAATTGAAAATGTGTTTTGCAATCCTGATTATACTGGACTAGAAAATATGAATTGTTGGATGGGGGGCAGGCCCCCGATATAGGGGCTTCTCTCTCCATCCAATGGTTCCTATTTTGTAGTTTGGTACTGTCTGAACTGCAAAACAATAAACTCTTAAAAAATTAAGATTAGTGTGCAATTTATTTTGAATGAAGTTACAATCAAATGCTCTCATGAATCACAATGATGCATCTTACGCTAGACAGATCTGGAAGCTAGAGTGTACACTAGCATACCTTGAGATCTTATGTTAAAGCCATATTGCTCTTACTATGTAGCCAATAAAAGGAAGAAAGAAGCGATTTTGTAATCAAAAGAAGTTCAAATTAGGGATATCACAAACTAACACGTTAGTGCAAAAAGTCTGATCTAAACCTTATGTGGTTATGTGCCTTTAAAGGCAGTTTCCTTTCTCTTCATCCCGATGGGTTGATCAAACCTTTCTCCTTCAAAGTCTCTAGTGATACCTCAACCCCTTCTTGAAATTCTGTTGTTTCTATGTCTTTTAAGTTAACAGGGATGTATTTGGGTAACCCTGCATGCATACCTTGAGAAAACAAGAAAAGGAAGAACGTGTGAGCAGTAATACAGACGTGCACAAGGATAACAGCATATAGATACTTATTTCAATCCTAATGTAAAAGGGAAGTGAAGCTTCCATGACAGTTAGGGAAACAAGACATTAATTAAAAGGGAAAAAAATCCTAATGTAAAAGAGAAGTGAAGGTTTCATGAAAATTAGGGAAACTAAACATTAATAAAGGGAAAAAAAAATCCGTAACTAATATGACAGATATGAGCCTAGTCAAACGAATTTGAAACACTAGCCTAAATGATGCAAAAGATGTTTTCTCGCTCTTTTTTCCTTTCGTTAAATGGTAACCTAGACAGCAGGTCTAAACCCCATGTGCACAAGTTTCAGCTTGTTGAGAAATATATATAATCTGTAATCAAGGATAAAACTCATCAGTAATTAAACCTATCAAATGAATGAAGGTTCCTCACTGATTTGACCACCTAAAATTCTGGTTCCTAAGGTAACGTGTAGATATCATCCAATTTTTAACTCCTTCAGTTTCTTCCTGATGTCAGCTGTAAGATTCCTATTGCAAAAGAGTAGATAAAGATGAGATTTTGCCGCTGCAACCAACAAATTAAGATAGTACTAAACCTCAACCAATATCTGAATTCTGAAACCAAAAGGACTCAGCTTTGATTGGCTATATTTAATGATTAGAACCCAGCTTGGAATTCACATGCTTCCTTTATTTCCTGTTGACTTTTGTAGGAAGTAGGAACCACCGAACCAGCAGCATTGTCACCGACCGTTTCGTAGAGTCCAAATTGCGTACTAAAATTTCAAAATAGTTTGAATTGAACTGTTCGTTTGCTATCAATTTTTACACTGACTTGTTTTACAGCGGCACGTTATGTTGTGATTTTAAAGCTCACCAATGCCCAGAATCAATTCTATCAATAATCTCACTCAACCACCAAAACCAGATTAAGCTAAACAAGAAA